ATGACAATGTGAAGAGTAAGAACATACTGAAAAGCTCTGATGCATTGTGTGCTGTTGTTGAGAGACGTGGATAATAACACGTTGCTAGCATGTATCATACTCTGTAGTGGTTGTGTGATTCTCCTTGTTTAGACTTCAAGAGCAGTGGAAAGAAATACCGGAGTTCTAAGAAATGCTTAAAACCGAAAAAATGTATTTAAAAATATTTTTTCTGTTCCTTCTTGTGGAAAATGATATTGAAGCCTGGAGATTTTCTTTATATATTCTAAAAATCTCTTACACAAGGCTTTCTGCTTTGTTATTTTTAGTGATGTAGTGGTTAAAATATTTTCCCTATTCAACCACTTATTAGTTCTTCAAATATATTAATTAGTCAGACTAACTCAAATGTTTTCTCTTCCATAAACATCGCATGCAATTGTCTCGGGTGTGTGATATCAGGCAAAAATTAAGCTGTGTTGCGGTTATCCGTGCAAGATGAACTTAAGAATGTGCAACTGTGACACGTCTCTGCTTTGCAAAACTGTGATGCCAGTTGCGCTTAACTATTTCTCCAGACCACTGTCCTAGACTTTGGGAAAAATCACTTCTCTTATTTATACCATAATTACCCTAGATGTAAATTGGGGAAAACAATACATTGGAATGTACTGATAAAATATAAGTAAAACAGCTTTATAGAACAGGGCAAAGCAATATTGGTATTCATAAGAAATCTGAAATTTGATTAGACTGGATCAAGGTCACTCAGTGGGCTTGGGATGCTGCCAAGAGCAGAGCTTGGGTCTCCAGACATTCTGTCTGTTGGCTCCAGTTGCCTTCCAAGTATGGAGAATGGCTGATGAATGCTAATAATGCAAAATTAAAATGCCAGCAACTGCTCACTTTCATTTATTTTATTAAACCAAAGATATTTTTTGTAAAAAGTCCTCATTGTTTTGGAAGACAGGAAATGGATGAAATGGATTTATTTATAAAATAAGCTTTTATCACTCAAATACTGTACAGCAATGAAGAATGGGAGTACAATGGCCATCTGGAAGCAGAAACCACCTGCTTACTGAATTTGTGTTCCGTTGTGGTGGTGCCAGAGTTTTCTTCTCCCAAAATAGCTTCTCTGATGCAGTACTGTTCACTTTTGCTGGCCTGGCACCTAGAGAGGTGGGATGTGTACTCTGGGGACAGCATGCATACGCCATGGAGAGTGCACAAAGGATTTTAGTCGTGGCTTCTCCAATGGCTTCTTAACAACAGTTAAGCAAGGGCAACAGATAAGCAAGACGGGTAGATGTGAATGAAAATGTTAGCGATTTCTTTTTTGAGCCATTCTTAAAACATTATTCAGAGGATAACCAAGATGTGGTGGCAGGTGGAGAACACTCATTTAATTTTATACATTTTATGAGAAAGCCAGGACAGATTCAGTTCATGAATGGGGGCTCTGCAGCCACTACTGTATCCCTGAACCGGGCAACGTTAATGAGGAAAGAGACCGATCTTCTCTGACTCCCTGCAGGAAATCTGCCCTACCTGGCTACGCATTTTAACTGTTGAAGATAGTCTCATGTATAGGCAGAGGGAACCTGGTCCTTGCAGGCTGTCGTTCCAAGTGGAAGATACTAGGGTCAGTATGGGAGCTGGAATGCTGGTACCTTTTAGTTTAGTAACGTGTAACTGCTGAATACTCGCTTTGGTGAAAAAATCAAGTGAGAAAGAATATGCAGAAGTTAACTTTTGAAATGTGAGTAAATGAAAGCAGAATTCCTTTGGCAGGTTCAACCAGTCTCTGAGAGTATGCAGCTAAGAAATCAGAACTGGCCGATGGACTATGAAGCTGATGAGGCAGCATGGTCTCACTACAGTCCAGTGCAATAAACAGATAATTTTGTAACTTCTCTAGTGTATAAGGAAAGTAATGCCTGATTCTAAAATTAGACTGCATTAGTAAAAAACTATGCAATCTACAATAAGCGCACAGGTTTGGCAACTTACTGCCTCTAAATTCTCTTCCATTTCAAGATATCTTCAAGAAATGGAATAGGCTTGTATGAATCATTATTGCCTCCATCCCAAAGCCCATTTCTAAGTTAAATGATGGGGGTTAACTTGTTTGGTCAAGTTACACAGCTCTTCTGTTCAGTGAGTACCGAGAAGCTGAATGAGGAAGCTTTACTGGGGAAGCACTAGGTGAGGAAACAGGCACAGAGGTTAAGTTGTGCAAAGTTCAGACCAAGTCTGTGGCAGAGCTCCAGGTAAAATCCAGGCCCTGTGGGCCCCCATCCATTGCCATCACCGTACTAGCTTTCTCTTTCAAAGGATATTCAAGGCCATCTCTGAAGAGATTAATAAATCCGAAGGTCACAGGCTGTGCATTTGTAGGAAGGGAGTACATACATGATTTGCTTTGGGGAAGTCGAATTTTTAGGGGAGATTATAATTTTGTTGTATTCTCATAGTAATGAAATCACAAACTGATTTTATGAATACTACACTCAACCCTTTGAGGGTTCATGCTGTAGGCTCTGCAGATTTATACATGAAGTGGCTTGACTGGAAGTCTCAATGCAGCAGAAATCAAAACCAGCCCTTTGAGTGAGGCAGATGGTATGTTCTTCCCGGGTAGCTCTGAAGACGTGGCTGACTGGTTGCCACAGATGCCTCACTGAAGAGTCTCTCCATTAAAGAAGTTCAGTGTGTGTGAATTGTCCAACAGACACACACTGTTCTTTCTTCACACCATTCCTGTACTTATTTAATTCATTTTCTCCCATAATACAGACTGACCTCTGCCTTCTGGTGGATAGGGACCAAGTGACCTATTCTAGGACCATTTCGCGGACAAAACTCTGCTAGTACGTTGTATGGAAAAGCGTTCTCAGAAGAAATTTGGCTTATACCAACAAAACAGTGAGGTTTTTGGCACTGTTTATTTTAGTGCCTTTGGAATTCTGTAAATTTTTCTCCTAGCCAAATGACACCTCCTCATATTCCTAATGTGCACTGCCATGCCAACAAAAATTGGTTAGCTTTGCATCAGTTAATCCTTCAGAGATGGAAAGTTACAGCATTACCACAAGTAAAGGTTAAGTAAGATCTTTCTGATGTGCTGCTTTCCTGCTGCTTGTCCTTGCTAGACAGCATGTACTTATGGACCCTCTAATCTTCGAGTCAGCTGTAGGGTGAGGGTCTGTGGACACAACTAGTGGCTCATGTACAGTCCCATAGGAACCTGAGGAGAATCCAAGGCAGTCGTGCCTGGGACTCTGCACATAATGAGAGAAGTGAGCAAAAGGGGGGAATTTTTTTTTTCCCTGCTCTTTTGGTCTTTCATTACAAATGGCCATGGAGATAGAGCAGCATGTGACGGCCATGCTTCCTTTCCGCCCTAACTCCGAGTTGCCTGAGTGTGATGCAGACCCCAGACATGCTTTCTTCTTCACCACTTGGTTATTCATTCAGACATGGTCCTCTAAGGTGTTGACTTTGATCCATTTTAACTGTTCTGCAATATGGTATGTTGTGGGAAGATTAGTCCTTAAGTCTCTTAATTACTCTTAATTCTCTTACTTCTAGCATAACTAGAAAAAATAGTAATTGTCAAATAACAAATAATCCACATATTTTGAGATTAATGCATAGCTGTTAGTAGCTAATTAGAATATTAACTTTCCACCCTAGACACTCCTATTATTCTGTATTTTTCCATGCCATCCTTCTTGTAACACTGCACAACGGTGTTTTTCAGGTTCAGTGCACTTTCAATTAGCTGATTCTTTTATGTGTCTAGAAGGTAAGTTAATGCAGTTATTCCTAATTTATAGGCAGTGTCATTGTGGTGCATGTAGTATCTGTACCTGGAGTACAGGCCTGAGAGTACTCAGTGGACTATGTTCAGCAGAGAATAATGACCCACGCTTGCATGACATATTAATTATAATATTTATAGGAATTAATTTACCAGATTATTAAATTAAGCATATGGAAGAGATAATAGAGTTGAGGGAAATTACAGAAGTAGATACATAGAGAATTTTTCAGCTCTTAGGAAGGTTTCACAGGAGTGTTAAAGCCAAGACAAGCTTAGTATTTGCATATGTGGGTTGGATCTGTAAAATGGCAGTGCCACCAAGATGATATTTGCATGGTGTACCAGGCCGTAAAACTAAGGCAACGCCCAATTTACATAAACCTCTGAAAGGCAACCAGGAAGCACATGCTTAACACAGATTGTCTGTTAACCATGTGTCTCACAGCTTGATAACCAGAATTAAATGCTAGCATTATATTAGCCAGATGTTCTCCTCAACAGAACCCTTCTGTAGTTCCTTTCCACTATGTATGTAGCACAGGTGGTATGAATTTTCCACCCCGGTCAGAGCTGTACTTAAAGACCACTCCAAACAAGAATGCACCTTCAAAACAGTCCTAAAACTGTACCTGCTACCAAAAGGGAAATGAAGCGTATTCCTTCATCTCTGATGGAGTGACCATCGCTTGTATTTTTTGCTCCTACCAAAGTTGATGGTAAACCTTTCCCCCACGTCCTCACACACACAGCAGTTGAATTCAGTTGAATTCAGTGGGAACAGGATCAATCTCATCATTCTCAGAAATGGCAAGTGTTGTTTGACCAGGCTTCAGGTAGAGGAGTAAACAACTATATTCAGTGTCTGAAGATGCATCCTTTAGATTGCACTGACTGAGAAGATATTTCTCTTCTTGAAAAGAAGTAGTTTCCACATGAGCAAGCAATGCCTCTGATTCTGCAGATTCTTAAGGGCTTTATTGATTGCATTTTCCTATTCTGACTTTTCACACCAAACAGGCTATGTTGAAAATAAGCAAATCATAAATTATATTTTTTGTTGCAATTTTTTTTCCCCAAAAACCTGAATAAGCTTAGGTGCTCCTCATATCTGTAAATATAATATTTTCCAACATAAATGTTAATGTCCCTTTTGAACATGAAAGACATCTGATTTAATTTTTTTCTATTAATATAAAGTTATGTTAGCCAAACAAATAATTTCCAGTTTTCACTCTTTCAAGAATTTGTTTTCAGGAAAAGGACCTGACAGCTTTGCTCTTTAATGAAATTGTTTCTTGCGTTCATTGTACATATTCCCGAACTGCAAGTTCTTTCAGGGTAAAAACCCGTATGGGATCTTTTTTTGCCTTCCATTCTTCCAGTTTTTCTTGCAAAGACAGAAAATCCTTGCCAAGTTCATATGCCAAAGTGATCATTGTTTCTAACAATGGAATATAATACTTGTGGCTGGTATGCACACAAAGGCGTGACAGAGCTTTTTCTCCGTATTCAAAGGCACTTGCTGAGTTTTCCAGGTCCTTGTGGCACACCACGATAGCACACAGAGTAGGAACAATTGAGACAGGGTTGCCTCTCGTCAGCCTTTCCTGCAGACCAATGATTTCTAAAAGGATTTCCAAAGCTTTGGTGTACTGGCCACCCCGCAGGCAACCATATGCTTCCCGGAGCTCTGGCCTTGTTAAAAAGTCAATAAATTTTTTTGATCTTCGGATATATTTCATAGAATATAGAAGTCTCAGGTAGTCCTTGAAGGCTAATTTTCTCTCATTGATTATTTCTTCTGTGAAGTTCCCTGTTAGAGATTTTTTGGGAAAGACCACATCTTCCATTTCTTCACTAAACTCCTCCAGCAGATTTCTGTGCAGTTTCTCGAAATCTGAATAACGCCGTTCAATTACAGACTTGTTGCTGTCAAAACTCCCTGTTTGCAAAATGATGATTTTATACATCTAAACACAGTAAAACAGAAAAATAAGCATGAGAAGGACCACTCTAGCCCCAGTGCAGTCAGATTTTGTCTGTTACTGCTTTGAAAAGACTTTATGCTTGTGTATTCCACCAGCCAAAACCTTCCTGCACCCGTTGGATGTCTGTAATTTTGTACACTCCTATGGCTTATAGCAGTGCTGCTAAATTAGTTGCTGCCTGAGATTATGGTGCATGCTCAGTGTAGGCCTGATCTTTGAAATCTGCAGCCATCAAATTAATAATTCCCACCTCCTGCTGCTTTGGACTTTTGTCTCCAGACTTAGCTTTAGCATGTAAATAAGTTTTAGATAAATGATACACTAACAGAGCCCATCCTGCAAGGTGCTGGGAATGGTGAAGTAGCAGCAGACTTAAGCACATAAAATCCCTTACAAAGCATTTCTGTAGCTATACTTTGTTTAGAAGAGCCATGGCTGCTGCAATCAATCATCTTCAGGGAACTGAATGGATTTCCCAGACTTAATATTGAATGTAATCTATTTTACATAGGTTGCAATACCCAGAAATGTTGTTTGTATCAGACATTTCTAGTGATTTGGGGGTGTTATTAATGCTGTGATAGAAGAGAGAGTATTTGGCAGTAATATTTGGTGTGTGCAAAAATATGATGGAGCAACTCCAAAGCCTTTTTTCCCCTCTAAATCATTGTCCTGTCATTCAAACTTACTTGGCATATAAATAATGAAAAAAAAGTGATATTTCAACAAAAATCTGTTAAAATCTTTCACTAACAGCAACGCTGTCCCACATTAACAGTACTCAAGTATGTGTTCCTCAGCTCTTCGCTAGCCTCAAAATGACTATAATAGAATCATAGAATCATAGAATCGTTAGGGCTGGAAGGGACCTTCAAAGGCCATCTAGTCCAACCCCCCTGCAACAAACAGGGATATCTCCAACTAGATCAGGTTGCTCAGGGCCTCATCCAAGCGGGCCTTGAACGTCTCCAGGGATGGAGCATCCACCACCTCTCTGGGCAACCTGTTCCAGTGTTCTACAACTCTCATGGTAAAAAATTTTTTCCTAATATCCAACCTGAATCTACCTCCCTCTATTTTAAAACCATTACCCCTTGTCCTATCACAACTGGCCCTCCTGAACAGCCTCTCCCCATCTTTCTTGTAGGCTCCCTTGAGGTACTGGAATAAATGCGATATTAGAAAAATAGCTGCAAAATAAAATTGAGTGTTACGCGTTGTACAAATAGATCCTCTTCTGGTCCTGAACCAAGCATAATAATGTTGAGGAAGGGCCAAATCCCTTATGTCTGTAAACCAGTGCAGCTCCACTGAGGCCAGCTTAACTGTGTCACCATACACCAGCTGAGGACGCAGACTGTTGACCTTGCTGGCTTTTGGACGATGACCATGTTCACATTCAACTTCACCCTATTCCCACTGAATTAGACAGGAACCGGAGCACCTTTACTCATGACAGTTGTTTTCTTTGCTGCTGTTGAGGGGTGCAAACCAGAACTAGCGCTAGTGCCTGTCTGATAATCTTCTTTGTTTTTCCTTAAAGAGAAATTATCTCTTTCAATCTTCATAAATGATCTTTACAGACACTCTTTGAAAGGTTTCTAAATTTGAGCTGACTTGTCTGATCTCTTTTCACTTGTAAGCAGTGACATTTTCCTATGCTTCATCCTGCTCCCTGCTGAAAAGTTTATATATGCCTGACGCATATCCAAAACAATCATAAGAGCAATTTTTTAAGCTATCACTTTATCAAGGACAGCTAAGTGAATAATTTACAAGTACTTGGTCTTTTATTTGTGAAGTGTGTATGAAAAAGGGAAGAAATAACATTTAATTAGGCTATCATTCAAACTGGGTAAATTTTGTTGTCATGTAAAAATTTTTGCCTAGGTGTGTAACTTATGACTAAGTTTAACTACTTGCACACACACTGAATGATACTTTTGTTCTCATACATTTATACTAAAATAATTTTTTAACTATTCAACAAGCTGGATACTATTGAGTGTATGCAAGAATGGCAGCATCAAGTAGGTGTGTGTAGCATGCAACAAGATCTCAGGACCATCTCCAGAACATTTACCTGCTTCAAATTCTACCAAGCTGCATCACCTAGAATCAGCAACACTAGTATGATTCTTAGTATTTTACGTTTACAGATCTAAGAGATTGTTGCAAATAAGGAAAAAATCCCTATCTGAATTTCGTAAGAGTACTGACGGAGACTTGCTCTAGATCAGTCCTCCTGAAAGCCAGGAGCAGAATCAGAAATAAAAAACAAGTGTCAGTACTGTGAGTAAAGATACAAAACCCCAACCCATTCTCTTGTTCTTGTCCCTCATGCTCATGTTTCACCTTAAAAATATGACAGAAAAATGCCATCTAATGGAGCTCTAGGTAAGGAAGGGGAACAGTCCCAAGTGATCTAGCTGGAGGATGTCTTAAGACTTTGTTGACATCAAAGAATTTTGCACTCATGCTAACATAAATCTCTGGTGTGGAAGTTACACAAATGCAGTGCAGCTGCTACCGCAGGCTGGCTCAGTGGAAGTGTAACTACATTGATCTTTTGATACTTGTGTGAATTTCCTTCATGTGACAAGCCTCTGAGCGTTAAGGATACCTAAGTTACTAATTTACTTGATATTACTTTTCCACTGCTGCAGATTTTGTGAATGGATTGTCAGAGGGTTTTTTTGAGGGGCGGATCCCACCAGCTATGCCCAGTGAGAACAGGTTCTACTTGGTATGATCATGGCTTGCAAAACTTGGCCCTCGGTAAGGCTTTCGTGTAGCAAGGCATGCTGTGTGCTGTGCAGACCCCTGTAGAGTGAATAAAAATTAATGATCTTCTTACATATTCATTTCTTGGCTTACCACGTATTTAGATAAGTGGTGCTCTACAATTCTGGCTGATGGGATTTCAAAAACAAGTTTGACTTGTCTGCACTGGCGTTTTTCATTCCTCCAGTATTCCTGAAGCTCCTTAGTGGTCATCGAAGAGTTGGGACTTAAGGATGCATTGGAATCTAAAATCAATATATTTAGTATTTCAGATTATAACCTTTGCAGCTGGAAAGAAAACTCTCATGCATTTATTGTGAAAGGAGAGCCTAGAACAACTGTTGCTGTAACAGCAAGACCTAAAGACTGACAAAATAAGTGATTTCGCTGCTAATAAAGACAGGTCCAGATTCTTCGAGGAAAGCTATTGTGGTCTGAAGTTTTGAAAGACACCAAATCAGCTGCAGAATACAAAGTTATAGAAAAAATACTGACAAGAAGTATTATATGTCTAGATTGTAACCTCGGGCACAGTCTGAGCAGGAGGTACTCTTCATCATCCCAGAAGCAGCCTTAAGAAAACACTGGCTTAGTCTTCTGAATCAGATGTTTCTCCAGGCTTCTTTGTTGCTAAAAGGAGGAGATAATACAATGCAGCTGCAAATTCAGATATATATTCAAATACTGACCCTATTCAAATATTGGGTTTGTGCAGTAACAGGTGAAAGCTGAGAAAACATGAATATCCCAGCCTTAAAGGAGAAACTTGGATAACCAATTCAGCTGAAGGAGGAATTCTCACATGCTCTTTTTCTTTTGTAGCTGAACTGATGCCACAGTTCAGCTACAAATATTTTATACACCTCCAACCCTTCGTCTCTCTCTGCCTCCCAACAGTCACATACAGACACACACACACATATACATACGCATATATAATGGAGGACAGCTAGTTGAAGAGTTTGCTTACAGGGGAATTTGATGTAGCTTTTCAAAAGGAAGATTTCTCTGTTTTTGAAATCTACTGGCGACAGTTTTCACCAGCTAGCGTATAGACTAGCAAAGTGGATAAAAGAAATGGAATATTTGTATTTCAGTGGGCACACCAGTCCCAATTTCCAATCAATATTGTCTCTGTCAGCAGCCAGCTGAAGTCAGTCTGCAATGACTCTGACATTCAGACAATGTAGGTGAATGACCACAAATGAATGGGAAGAGAAAAGCTTAATACAGTAACAGAATTGTAAAGGCATCATAGTACTCCTTCAGTGGCCCCACTTCGACATGTTCTTAATCATTCAACCATATAGTTCCTATTATCAAAGCCTTTGGGGTTTGGCTCTATCTCTGCAAAGTATATATTTCCTAAGAGAGGTAGTGTTTATGACATCTTTGCAGGCTGAAGATGTTGATGAGATTATATTATTTTTTGGGTGATAGATAAAATTTTATTTAACAACAGATGACGGCAACCTTAGGCATGGTAAAAGTTCTATGCTGCCTCTTCATAAGGCATGTGAGAGACTACAACTTGAGATTAGCTTCAATCTTGGTGTCCTTGCTTATGCTGCTAAGAAGTTCAGATTTTGGGAGGTACAGAAAGTGCACTCCCGAGACAGGCCATCTGATGATCACTGTTTTGATCCCTGGTTTGTAAATTAAATCTGGAACACATTTTAGGTGCAAGGGATTTAAAAGGAAAACTCTGAGTATACACACACCAGGATGTGCATCTGTTTCACTATTGCTACATTATTACCACAAGTTTAATCAAGGCTTATTTTCAGTGGCAGTGTAAATCTGGACTACTGCTGCAATAAATAAAGCAAAGCTTTTTATATAAAAGATTAATGGCATAAACAGCTACATGAAAAATAAAATTAAAGGAGAACATCAACCTTGCAGGTCATCTTTTTCTGGGTTTTCTTTTCTCACTTGACATGAAATGTCAGCTTTGGGTTGATTTTGTTCTTCATCAGACAGACTTGTGGTAGTAATCTTGCTTACAGCTTCCAGCAGCCCCCTTTCTGCTGTGCAGTGGGAGTCTTGGTCCATTGCAAGCTATCACTGAAAGATTATAAAAACCATGACATTTCTTAGTAGCATGCCTTTGGAGGATCCAGTCTGGTAACATTTTTATTGACTTACTCATTGTTCTCTGTGATCTTGCATAAGAGCAACTGTGGTTTCAAAAAAACTAAAGTAATAAATAGAAATGGTTCTTTACTGACAGCTACGTAGATATTTCTATTACCATTATCACTGAAAGAGTTTGCGTATCTTTTTGGCAGATTAAAATAAGCTATGTTGAATAACTTGTTGGGTTGAATAACATTGTTGGATGGGGAACTCCATTCTTATCTATAAGAATTTTATCATTAACTTCAGTGGGGGCAGATTTTTTCTCCTTGTATTTTGCCCCCCAGCTTGCAACTGTGAGTTCAGATGAACAAAAATCTTGGAGATAATTAGTATAGCTACCAGCCTCGCTCTCTTATACTCCTAGAATTTACTCTTCTCAAGACTCCAAAACTTGCTATCTGTTCTTAATCACAACCTGTGATATCTAATGTAGTATAATACTTTTGTCATATTTCACAGTTTCAAATTCTCTCCAGAGACTTGGCTCTGTACTCTGAGAACAAAAAAATGAATCTGACAATGGCTAAGTAGAAGGAGAACTGAGTTTTCTAATTATTATACAGAAACATTCTCCTTTTACTTATCTTTTTAACCTACATACTCTTCTTGTAGTAGATCTCTCTGCCTGTTCTGCTAGGACTACTATTTTATCGAATACTGGTACAATGCCTAGCACAATATACTCCTACTCCATAGACCAGATTGGCCATTCTGCCACATAGATGACTCCTCAGGATGTTTTTTGGGATTTTTTGTGGTTGTTACATCACTAGCTGGTGAAAAAGTTCTTAGAGCATCCTAACAACTTTGCCAGGGTGCTGTGTTCTGTTAGCTGGCATGAGAGAAGTGTTGCTCTCACTTCAGCCAACTGATGAAAATCAAATCACAGAACAACCCACTCGAAAAAAACCCACAAGTCTCGCTGCTACAAATGTAAAAATAATGCCCAGGTGGTGGTTATTAAGTAACTAGAGGGTTTAGGACAGAGAAATTACTACACATCATTTCGCCTCCACTTGTCTGCCACAGAGTTATGCAATGCTGGATACAGAGGTGAGGAAACTCCTTCAGCAGATCTATGGATTTCTTGCAAACTGCAAGGCTATAAAAGGAAAAGCAATTACTCTTCCCACTGGAAATAATTGAAGTGCAAACCGCTTTCCTTTAACAGAAACCCTCCCTTTGCCTGGCTTGGATAAGAAGTACATACTGTTGTCATCTTCCTTAATAACAGCATCATGGAAGCCCTTATTTTGGACTTTGGACTAGGAGGTGAAACTTTTCACTGTTCTTCTAGTCCTCCTTAAGATCTGCATTTTGAACATGAAGATTGGCCACCTACTTATTGTCTAACTGCTCAATCTTTTGAAAATCAATACGGTTTATCCCAAGACCATAAACTTGCAAATATTTGCTTTTAATGTAAAGATAATCTCAAATATAGTACATTAAATGAGAAATCTGAAAATGGCCAAAAAATTGAAACGACAACTGTTTTATTGGTTGTGAGTTGATATAACCTTATAAGAAAAAATGTATTTATATTCAAGATATATATATTTATATATATTTATAACATTACATACATAAAATATGTATGTATAAATATATTAAAAAATACCACTCTAAAACATGATTTACCAGAGAAACACGACACACTTGTAAATAGAAGAATGCAGAAGTGAACGTTATGATATGCAAGTCTTCTGCCTTGAATATATCGCTTTGAAAACTATCTGTACTGTATATGAACAGTTTCACTTTCACAGCTAAAAATTGTAGTAAGCTCTTTTAACTAAACTACTATTTATTTTCACATATTAAAAAAATCCAAACCAACACAAAACCCCTGCAACAAATTACACAATTTTACTTTGAACAGACGCTCATCCTGTTCCGTTTCAGGGTAAATGCCACTCTAGCTGCTTCGCTGAATTGTAGTTAAGATGAAAAACTGAAGCGCACAGAACACTCACCTGGAAACTGCTGAAGAGCTTTTAGTTGTGGTGCATGTGTGGTCTCCACGAAGTCATGAAAAGCCTGCTTCGCATTTTCAAAGCGCAGAAAAATATGTCTGTGTTTTCTTCGAACAGGCACATTCTGTGTTTAACAAAAAGGAAGGAAGAAGCCTTGATTAAATCAGACTTCCTCGACCAATTGGCTCACTGGTTCAGCACTGGCTGATTGCGCATGAAATTTCCTATGTGCCTCGGACAGCCCTTGTGCCGTTTGCGGGCGAGTTACGGCCTGCTGTCCGCAGTGCAGCTTCCCCAGCAAGGGCACTTCGCAACCTGCCTGGCAGCATCACACGTGCAAACACAAACTCTGGCAGAGGAAAGAGTTCAATAGTAAAGACAACTGCAAAATTAATGAAAACTTCTCTGCATGGATTTCTGAAACCAAAAAGAAACGTACTTAGCAAAAGAGAGGTTAGGAAACAAGAGCCAAATATATAAATGTACTTACGTGGAAAAATATGCTCCTTGGGACATCTTTAAAATACAGACTTAAGATCCAGTTCCGAAAAGAAAATGCAGATGGTACCACAATAAACAGCCTCACTCTATGTAAACTTGCACTTCTGACAGAAATCCCGATTCCACACAGTGCTTAAACATAAGATTAATTTCAAATATCTGCTTAATTAAACTTCAGAAAGGAGCATTATCATACCTGACGTGACTACTAAACTTGAAATGAGTTTGTGTGTGTGTGCCTAAAATTAGTCCTGTGCTGAAATTCTTTGTTGAACTGAGGACAAACTGAAGAAGACAGACGCATTAATCCACATGTCCTTTGGCCCAGATACTTCCTTTTGCAGTTCACTTCACTTTGGAAATTTGCTTTAATGCATCAGGATAGCTATTTGTGGGGTAATAGAATACATCTTTTTGTTGTAATGTAAGTTTCCCCATTGCCAAAGCTCACTCACTGAAAAATCAAGTGATTTTAATGCAGCACAAATGTGGGAGGCAAACATCCAAAGGACCACATGGATCCTGCCCCACACATTCCTTTAGAACAAACAATTTAACACAATGTAAAACCAGGGCCATAAACTGGCAATGCCTCTCTTCTGCTTTATTGGCAACATAAACCAATGCCAACTTTAACTTGGACTCAGTCTAAATGCAGAAGTTTTGCCAAAAAAGCTGTCAGAATGATGAAAAATCACTCCCATGCAGCTACAGCCATACTGGCAAAAGCCCTAGTGTAGATGCTGTTATACGGGCAAGGTCCTTTAGCCAGTTTAGCGTGTTCCATGAGGAAAGTGATTTAAATTCCACCAGAAGAGAAATCTGTGCTTGCCAACACAGCTCTAAGGTGTAGCTATACCAGCCAACCCTTTTAAGTGTAGGCAAGGCATAGGTTTCTGGCTCAAGTCTCAATCCTTTAAAGTTAGATTTATGGGTTTGGTTACAATTGTGAGGAAAAAACAAGGGGGATTTCTGTGCATTTCACGCACGCTGACAGTTCAGAGATGTATCTAAGCTTTGTGTTCTGAATCTGTTAATTTATGTGTTGCCAAAAAGCAATGTATTATTTCGTGATGCTTAGTGCTATTATCCTGCTTGATAAAGCTAAAAGAAAAGAGGAAAGTATATTTTTCAGTACATTAAGTATGACCTCTACTTTCAGTTATTTCAGAATAAGTAAAGCCTAGTCAAATTAATCTGGATGATTTTTAGAAAGTGAAATCTCTTATTACGAGCATGGCTGACTGATAGGAAATAATTTACAAATCAAGGGTGTTGTGCAAGAATTCTGCTCGCCTCAGTAGGGCCAGCCATTATGTTCACAGCTGGCTCCTGAAAGGGTTCCTCACGCCCAGGGGCTGTGACATCCACAGTGGGTTTAGGAGGCTGCTGCTCCTCGTCCTGCTCCCATGAGCTCAAGTTTGGTCCAGACAGCCCCTGGCCCTTCACTGGGACCTAGTGTTGTTAGCCTGGCAACATTTTACTTTCCTAAATGTCTACTTTATTAGGACATTCAAAAAACATCTAGAGCATGCAGTAGTGCTTGCTAGCAGAATGCATAACTAGTGTCTGTCTTTTTATATTCTCTGTTCCACTTCCAACAGTCAAATACTGTGTAAAGATGTTGCTCACCAGCCTGGGCCACAGCACCAAGGACTCTGTTGCATCTTCCACAGCCAGGAAGAAATGGCCTGCCTTTTGTACGCAGGGTCTGTACCTTGAGTTAATTAGTTAATTAGTTCATTATATTCAACTCAGTCCAGCTGGGTAATAATGATTGGATGCCATATAAAGAGTTAAGCAGTGGAAAAGGGGAATTTTCACAAGGGCAGCATACTATTCTGAGATATGGGCAAGTGCGCTTACACCATCAATTTATCTGACTATTCATAAAACTGTGATAAATATTAATGTAAAAGCCTGTTCTGTCATGATCAGTGATGGAAAAGGGATCGTCATGCACTGGCTCCCTCAGAGTTTGCATTCTGTGAAAGCACCGACTTCGCCTGGCATACATAACGAGCACAGTGTTACAATGCATCTGCCAAGGGATATGGAAAAAGAGTGCTCTGCAATAACACAGGAGCGAGGCAAGGTTAGAATCGTAGCAGCGCAGTGCATAAAAGTAGTTGTCATAGGAGTTAGGTCCTCCATACCGATTTAAGATGAAACGACTCATTTTAGGAAGATTAACCTGGAAGTTAAACTTGGTAACCAGTCACCAGATGAGCTAGCCTTGCGATGCCGTGTTAAGGATGCCTGTATTGAAAGACTGTGTTTGTGCTTTTGATGGTTAAAGAACCAGAAGGGACTGCTGCAATAGTGTGAAACAGCCTGCCTTGATTGACACCCTGATATGGGCGGTTCACATTTTCCCAGTCGGATAGATGACATAAACCCAGACAGACACAATAGTTAACCATAGAACACAAAGCT